CTGATTACTGCCAGACCTGTTGAATCAAGAAATCACTTAAATAGAACCTGTCTGACAAAGTGAAGCATGCCTAAAGAGCAACACATCATGCCACGATCTAAAGAAATTCAAGAACATGTGAGAAACAAAATAGTTGACATGTATCAGTCTGGAAAGGGTTATAAACCAGAACAACATCTAAAGAACTGCAGGCCTCACTTGCCTCAATCAAGGTCAGTGTTCATGATTCAACAATAAGAAAGAGGGTTCCAAGGCAAAAGCCATTGCTGACCAAAAAGAACACAAAGGCTCGTCTCACATTTGGCAAAAAATATCTTGATTATCCTGACTTTTGGGCAAATATTCTGTGGACTGATGCGACAAAAGGTGAACTTTTTGGAAGGTGTGTGTTCCGTTACATCTGGCTTAAAATCAGAGGCGGACAGTAACTAAGTACATTTACTTGAGTATTGTACTTAAGTACACTTTTTGAGTATCTGTACTTTACTTGAGTATTATTTTTTCTGGGAACTTATGACTTTAACTTCACTACATTTGAAAGACAAATATTGTACTTTTCACTCCACTACATTTCTATCAAGATCCTCAAAGTAGAAAGTCGTTTGAAAGCTTTGAAAGTCAGTGGGTGATTTCTTTCTTCTCTAAAAACTGTATTTTTTTCAGACAGTTTATCAGTAATCACTCTTGGGGCTACATGAAGTGATTTCCCAGCATTTTTTGAACACTGACCAGTTCCAAATGTGATATTTATTTACAACAATTCAATAATAAGTTAATATTATTGTGGTTTATATTAGACACAATATTGTCTGATTTTGCTAAATTGCGTACGTGAAAATATTACCTATAAAGCAACAGAAGAACTGTTGTGCATCTCCTAATAAAACACAATAGGTGTTGGACTGAAGCAGCACTGCACAGACCATTCTGTGTATGACATCAAAGTACTGCGAGAGCGATTAGACAGCATTTAAAATGTTTGTTTTGATGTCAAATAAGTCTTGCTGTTTTGCTTTTTTGTTAAAGCAGTGTTGCTGTTGTAAAGTTATACAGCTACAGTTGTGTTGCTGGGTTTTTTAAGCAGGTTTGATTTTTTTTTCTTCCTTATCAGTCTGTATTTACAGGATTTCACTGTCCACTCTGTTCAAATGTGGATGAATGGCTACACATAGATGTGTCCAGAGCTGTGTGAGATCACTACCATCCTGCTTTTGTGGGGGTGGGTAGGGGTGTTAAATAATTTTTCTGTTGTTGTTGTTGTTTTTTTTCCCCCATAGGTTTTTAACATTCTAAAAGCTCTTTATTCCAAAGGTACTACAAGCTAGTCAGTGTATTCAGTAGGTGTAATGTATTGTAAGTTGCTTCAGAGGTATTGCAAGTATTACGTACAACAATAAAAAATATGTGCATTGACATAAAAAAGGAAATTTACTTTTGGTACTTAAGTACTTTTAAAAGCAAGTACTTCTGTACTTTTACTTAAGTAAAAATCTGTCTTTACAACTTTTACTTGTAATGGAGTAATATTTGACAAGCAGTATCTGTACTTTCACTCAAGTAATGGAGTTGAGTACTTTGTCCGCCTCTGCTTAAAATCAACACAGCATTTCATAAAAAGAACATAATACCAACAGCCAAACATGGTGGTGGTAGCGTGATGGTCAGGACCTGGACGACTTGCCATAATTGATGGAACCATGAATTCTGCACTCTATCAGCAAACCCTGAAGGAGAATGTCCGGCCGTCAGTTTGTGACCTCAAGCTCAAGCGCACTTGGGTTATGCAGCAGGACAATGATCACAAACACACCAGCAAGTCCACCTCTGAATGGCTCAAGAAAAACAAAATTAAGGTTTTGGAGTGGCCTAATCAATGTCCGGACTTAAATCTGATTGAGATGCTGTGGCATCATCTTAAACAGTCCATTCATGCTCGAAAACCCTCCAATGTGGCTGAATTAAAACAATTCTGCAAAGAAGAATGGGCCAAAATTCCTCCACAGCGATGTGAAAGACTCTTCTTTGTTGTTGCTGTTTGATTAATATTAAGAAAGTGCTGTCACTTTAAGAGAATGCACTGATACAGTACGTTCAGCCGGCTATGTCTGCTATTGGATACTTACCAAGACGGGCATTTTGACATAATTTTTGTGTGAATTTGTCCACTTAAACACAATACTTCAGAGAGAGCTTAATATTTGCCCGTGTTCTAAGGTGCGGGTTTGCGCGCTTCGGATGAGCGCACGCACAAATCTTCTCACTGCGCGCACGAGCTCACATCCTCTGGCTCTTAAATGTTTAAACTGGCAAAGCTTAAATGAGTTTAGTTTAGTAACAGATATCAACGTGTGCTGTTCAGGTCTCACCTGTGCACGCACACGCTATCAGCACCCGGGTGAAGACGGAATAAATGACTGCTCATATTCCAGCATACAGCACTCGCATTGAACAAAAATGAATGGTTTGTCCACTTTTTTTTTCATCACTGTTGTTGTAATGTATTGGGAAGCCAGAATGCGCATCCATCAACAGAAACATACATCAGCCGAACCCTGTTTGTTTTACGTGTTATTTATAGAAAACCATATTACAGATGCATTGTCAGATTTAAATTGAACCGCGGTCCTAGTGCGTGCCGAACCGTGTGTGGAGAACCGTACGGTTCGTTTTTTTACCGAGAACCGTTCCACCCCTAGAAACTACTCTAACTAAATGATAAATATAGGAAAAGAGTCATATATACTAATGTAGTATCATTGTACAATAATATTTGAAAACCAATGCTGCGATTGGCCATCAGAATAAAGTATTCCTGAGTGGCGCATGAATAAATAGATTTAGTTGAACTATCTTGTGCTTTTTTTTAAGATATTACGATATTTGCATTAGCAATGAAGATAGATAGTTTCTCCCAACAACCTTTTCTAATATAAGTATAATGTAATTTTACACTCAGATTGTTTCAGTATATTCTGTTCATATTCATTAACCTTTCATTAATATTCTGTTTAATTAACTTCAAAACAGCACCTTAAAATATCTGTAGCACAGCGGTGGCTGTCATATCTGGGGTTTGAGAGGTTCCTCGCTCTCCCACTGTTGTTCTCTACTGACCTATGCTGCAAAAGCCATGAATACAATTTAAAAATGAAATATAAGTACTGTCCATTTCCGTCCATTAAAAATATGAAGGCTACAATTTTTGGTTCTGCTGCAGCCTGTTAGTAGGGCCAGTTATACACTGCAATTTTTAATAGCAATGTGGACAGCTTTTTTCCCTTAATAAATGAAATCATTATTTCAAAACTGCATTTTGTATTTACTCGGGTTATCTTTGTGTGTGTGTGTGTGTGTATATTAGGGGTGGAACGACTTACTCACAGTTCGGTTTGTATCATGGTTTTAGAGTCACTGTTTCGGTACGGTTCGGTATGTGCTATGTTTAGGCAAAAACTATACTGTCAAATAAAA